CCTCACAAAATACCAGCGTGAAGTAGAAGTTTACTTCTGTGTTTCGCTTGGTAAGTTTAGGTGGTCGGAGGCCCAATTCTTATAGTATAGTAGCGGAATCAAATAAAAAACTACCCCTGGAGGGTACCAGAATCCTGGTGACGGAGAATCCTTTGCTGAGCACCCACGCTCAAGCTACCTTACTGTTTCTGAGCGTGTGTGGCGATTTTAACGACCATCACGCCGAATGGCTCGGTTCACATTTAACCGATCATGTGGGGAAATTTGTTTATGACTATGCCTTGGCATATGATTGCACAGCTGGTTACTTTGCCTACGCGGATTCCAGATGTGGAGGATCATGCGCCTTCCCTGTTGGAACTTCTGCTGACCTCTTATCCGGACGGATATCAGGTTTCCGTTGACACCCCTCACGGCTCCTAGGGCCATTGTCTTGTCCGAACGGTGGTGTCACTCACACTATCTTCGCGGTTGCATTCTGTAGACTGCCGCCGTGTCTGGCACTATAGATCGGCTGATTGGGAAAGCATGCGGTCTTTTTTTTTCATTCTACCCTTGAGAACGGATTTGCTTCTCGCTGGACAATCCCAGCAATGTTTCTGATTCTGTCGCTGATATGGTATTTCAGGATATGGAACTTTTTATTCCATCTTCTGTGGTGCCCATCGGAGGCAGATTCCAGCCATTGTTTGGTCGCTCATGTAAAATAGCATCACATTATAAGCAAGAGTGCTACCAGGACTGGCCTGACGACATCTTTACATCCCGAGACGTTGATGTCTCGGGATGTAAGATGTAAACACCAGCGCTCTTCAAAAGAAGTATAATTCCCCTCCAGGTTCTTCAAAATTCATTGCCAAGGCAAGGTCAGAGCACATCGGCGGAGTTGGTGAGAGGCTAGTTCGCCTTCCTTCGATAACCCGTGCATTCTGGTCTCTTGCTAAGGCTATCCAAGGGAACTTCTGTCAGCCATCTCTGCAAGGAGAGGGTGACTCACTGAGTCCATGCTGCAAAGGAGAAAACCTATCTGTTAATCTCTCTTTTTGCATCTAACTCGAATCTCGATGACGGAGGAACACACCGCCGACCATCCCGCGGTTTAAGTGCTCCATGCCAGATGTGCGACTTACACAGCGCTCGGTTCACAAAGCACTCCTCTCCCTGGTCGTCAACAAGTCGAGTGGGCCTGATGGAGTCCCTTACATTGTGCTGAAGACGTGTGCTCCGAAGTTGGCACCGGTTTTAAGGCGTGTTTTCCGGTACTTCTACTCCTAAGGTGTTATCCCAAATTCATGGAAGACAGCTTTGGTTCTCCCGATCCCTAAAAAAGGCGACCGCTCAGATCGGTCAAACTACAGGCCTATCGCCATAACCTCCTTGTTCTTCAAAATAATGGAATCCATTATAAACAGTTTTCGTCGGGCTTGATCAGCTGGTGATCTTCTGGTCTATGAAACTCATAGATGGGTGGAGGCAGTAGAGTCCAAGGGGTAGGCATTGGCTGTTAGTTTGGTTATAGCGAAGGCCTTCGATCGGGTCTGGCACAAAGCGCTTCTTTCGAAGCTCCCTTCCTATAGGTTTTTTTTTATAGGATCGGGTGACAAACGAGCACACAGTCCACCTGATGGTAAGTAGTTACTGTGACCCATGGACATCTACATCTATCCTCAATAAAGACTCAAGATGCAGATGCGTTGTCACCCGTGAGGACTAAGATGGAATGCCTCTTTGCCAGTAAAAAGGGTCTCCGGTTCTCTACACTCACCATACGAAACACAGCAGCGTTAAGCTGCTATTTTACGCTGGTTTTCTGTGAGAGCGTGGTCCTTCCCCGTTCGAGCCGACCCATTCGTGCTACAACCATAATATAGCTGCGGCATGGCTCTACCACGTAGAAATTGTAGGCTTCCCGAGAAATTGTGCAATTGGATCACCAGTTTCCTTGCTGATCGGAGCATCGAGGTCGTAGTAGACGGTGCATGCTCTGATTACAAGCCTATTAACGCTGGTGTTCCACAAGGCTGCGTGCTATCACCAACGCTGTTTCTACTGTATATCAATGATATGTTGCAAACTGGTAACAATGACAGCACTGGTGATGCAATATCCACGGGCCGTGCCAATATTTCTCGGGAAAACGTCTCCGAGTACCGGAACAAACTTGTGTCTGATTATTTGCTGAACAAAGTCTCGGATTGAGGGCGGCTAAATCTAGTCCAGTTCAATCCCCAGAAGACACAAGTTTGCACGTATACCATAAAAAGAACCCCTTTGTCGTATCTTCTCAGTTTCAAGGCACTCCCCTGGCTGCCTCAGCTAGCATCGGAATCCTCGGTGTCGACATATCGAAAAGTGTACAGTTTTAGGGTCACTTGGAAGGGAATGCCGAATTGGCCTATAAAAAGCTTGGCATGCTCAGCAGAGCGGGGCAGTATTTCATGTTGGCATATCGCTTGCAACTTTTCTCTCATCTCTGGGTCGGGGCACGCCAGTGTCAGCTCCTTCCACTTGACCGCATCCAGCGCAGAGGGGTTCGATTCGTCGACGTCCGAATTCTTTCTGATCTGCTCAATTGACAGGCACTGCGTAGGGATGTTGCATACCTTTGCATTTTTCATCGCATCTACTTTGGGGAGTGCTCTGAGGTTTGGTTTAATCTCAGCTGCCATATTTCATGGACCCACATCGCATCAAAATTCACAATAACATCCTCACCATCTGGATGCTTGACGGGCCACCACCTTGCGTTTTACTAGGAGTTTTCGTCCTCGTACAACTTCTCTGTGGAATTGTTAACCACCAGCGATTTTTCCGGACCGATACGACTTAGGGGCCTTCAAGAAAAGATCTTACTCCTTTCTAAAAGGCCGGCAACGCACCTGCAATTTACCTGGTGTTGCGATTGTTCATGGGCGGCAGTAGTCACTTACCATCACATGACCCGCATGCTCGTTTGCCCCCTTTTCTATAAGAAAACGTACGACGAGAAAACCCAAAAATATAATTGCTTGATTGAGGGCTGAATACGACTATCAGGGTGGTTTCTAGAACAATTCAAATTATTTTTCTTTATTAATTTCAGTATCTGTAAATTTAATTTCGTCTATGTGGTTACCGTGCACTCTATTTAAAAAGGCTAATATTTTTAGTAGCATCTTGTACATATACAACATGATAAGATTTGCTCCAATTCCTCATTAATGAGATGTGACAAATGGTAATTTCTTTTGTTAGACTTCTCTGAACATAACAAACAGTTTTTTATGGCGTTTAGACATGACTTCTAATTAAACTTTACACCTCAGAAGTAGTCATTATTGATTTTTTTGCAAAGACTAATGACATTGAAATAAAGATGCATAGCGTAATTTTAATAGAATACGTTAAATATAATTAAAGTCAATTTAAATATATAACGTCAAATTAAACTTGATATCGAAACTTAATTTTTAAGTGAAGATAACGCATAATTAATTGAAGCAAACTTACCTTTTTTACCGTTATTTATAATACGATCGTTGCTGAAAGATGAAAAAATATGAGGGAGTACGTTACAAGGCAGTCGCTTTGATGCAATGAATATATCGTTCATGTGTCTAAAAACTTTGGGAATTAAACAGAGGGCAGCCGTACAAAGATGTGTGCAAGCGGGGTAAGGGAGAGGGGGACATTACAAAACTTGGTTTTAACCGGTTAATTCTTACTACGTAAACCGAAATTTGTGAAAAACCGGTATTCCGCATAAACCGGTTTTGGGGTCAATGACCGAAACCGGTTTAGAATTTGAACCGGTTTCCGAGCCCTGCCAGAAAGATCTTATAATTTCCGATAGATGGCGCTGCCGTATAACCATCTCGCTTACTGCAGTCGAAAAATATCCAGACAGGCGGGCGACGGAATGCGGTGTCAAAGGTACGAGAAATCTAATTCGGTGAATGTCAGTCCTCTTTTCAAGCTTTCCGCTTGAAATTATGGCCGAATAGAGCATTTGCTGCCTACAATGGCTGAGACCCATGTCCAGTGGTTGATATCTGATAATGAAAGGAAAAAGAAATATGTGCTTTACGCTTCTTTATTATTTATTGAGACTTTGACGGCCTCGTTGGTCTTGTGGTTGTACACGCAATTGCTGATCATGAAGTTCCGGGTTCGAATCCCTCGGGATTAAAAACGAGTTATTTAGTTTTTCTCGGTAGCAGCCCGGAGTCAGGAAGTTGGCAGCGTTTCACCCGTGCCTCGGAAAGCAGGTAAAGCCGTTGGTCTTTCGCCTGATTTCTCTCTGATCGTGTCGGATTACCGTCCTATGAGAGTCGGGGAATAGAGAGTGCACCTGTGCTTGCGCATACACTTGGGCACTCTAATCCTGTTCTGCACAGATGGCTAGTATCCGTGGAGAATGGCCGCCGTGACCAAAAGTCGGTCTGGAGAATTTTTTTTAATCATTGAGACTGAATATAGGCCTCAACTCAATAAGCGATATCCACAATTCAATTAGGGCTAGTAATTTTCTGCTCACCAGATTTCGCTAGTTGACACTGAGGTAAAATTTTTTGTTACACAGTGTAATTTAATTGAGAAGTTAGTTTTTAATAAAAGTTTATCAGTTTCTAGAGTATTATATTAATACACAAAACAATGCGTCAGTGGTTTGCTCTTTAATTTTTTGCACATTTTTAATTTTATTTTTATTTTTATACTTTTATGAATATATTTATTTTTAATCTTATTAATAAAAAATATAGCTAATAGTACAGAAAGAAACAATAACCTTTACATTTTCCGAACAAATTAACTTCCTCACTTTCTAGAGGCCCCACCCTGGCGGCAGAATAAGTCGTGGATGCCCTCATTGAGCGGTATAAAGATCAGCATCAAGCAATTTGTCAAATTCATCCCAGAAAAACTGTGCTTATGATAGTGACGACAAATTAAAACAAACCTCTTATAAAATATCATTTATATATCTCATTAAAAATATAACAAAAATGATTTATCACAACTTAAGCCATGGGTCCGATCACTGGTCCAGGAATGATGGGGTTAATAGCGACGCCACCGGGCAGCATCGAGTCAACGGGGTTGACGCTGTTGTCCTCAGCGTGTTCGACTACTGACACGGGAATGGGGGTGATTTCGGGTGCCTGGATCGCGGGAGAAGGGGCCTGAAATGAAGTGACAATGTTATGCTCCAACTTCGACTTCGGTTACGGTGACATTTTTAGATATTTTTGAAAGTTGACTACGCACCACATACCATAAGTGTCACGTCTATACGACGGACGGTACGGTAGTGCAGTGGCTTAGCGGTTTCAAATCCTTTACGAGCGGTTTCTAACCCTGTTTTTTAAGACAAATTACCAGTTCAACTATTTATGAACCGTTAACAGTTTTTTTTTTCATTTTAAGTTATCCTAAGTTGCTGAATGAATAATTTGTTTTTAAATTCACGTCGTATGTAATAAAACGGATCGTTACGCAGAACGAAACGTTTCTTGAATATAGAAATCGGCCATAAAAGTAAAAAGGCAACTATTAAAGTTGGTAAAATTTTTTTTTGCCTACATCCGCTCAATTAAATAAAATCGTGTGTCTTAACTAGTTTGAAGAGCACGTCCTCCCTTAATTGCGTGCACTATCACCGTCACCACTTATCCAAGTACCACTACTTCCGTCACCACTACACTAGGAAAGACACACCACCGACGATAAAACACGTGTTTCGCCTCTACACGAGGCATCTTCAGGTGAAATAGACTCTGCGGTGGCTGAGAGGAAGGGCGGGAGGTGCTCTACAAACTAGGTGATCATTTTATTTTCTGCCGACTCCCAAAAAGGAGACGGTACTCAATTCGACTGTAGGTTTTTTTATATATGTTACCTCATAACTTTTTACTGGGTGAACCGATTTCGATGATTCTTTTTTTATTTGAAAGCTGGTACTTCTCGTGTGGTCCAATATGAATTTGATCAATGTCATACCAATAGTTTTGAGTTATTCTTAATGACTTATATTGAAGTCGGCTGTACAAAATTTTTAATTTTAAATTATATTAAGTCAATGTAGGCAAAATAATTTTTACCATCTTTAATATAATGGATTTCCGTAAAACAACGCCTGATTCTATTAATAACCTCAAAAAGTCAAATGTAATATTTAGTTATATATTTTCGATTCTACCTGTCCTGGCTTGTTGACGTTGATGATGATCTGCACCAAGGGCTTGGAGGTAGCAGGGGCTGGGCTGGGGTTGGGGTTGAGAATGGGAGCAGGGACGGGCGCGGGCACTATGGGAGTCTCCGCCTCCACGGGGGCGAGGTCGGCTGGAACTAGAACGGGAACAGCTACCTGGAAGAATATACAGTATATGTAGTATGTATGTGTAGTACGTATATATATATTAGTGAACTATTGTAGAATTTTTCATAATTAATAATCGAGAAAAATATATTTTATTATATGTATAGAACAAGGGTGACAAACGAGCACACAGTCCACCTGATGATAAGTGGATGCTGCGGTCCTTACACATCTACATCCATCCCCGATCAAGAATAAAAATGCAGATTCGTTGTTACCCCTAAGGACTAAGACAGAATGCCTCGTTTCCTATAAAAACGGTCTCCGGTTTTCTACAGTCACCATGCGAAACACAGCAGAATTAAGCTGCTATTTTACAACTATATAGCTGCAGCATGGCGCCACCAAGTATATCAGATAACACGATTACTTTAGCAGAGGCAGCATAGCTCTAATTTTATTTAATAGGGTAAGGCGGACAAAAGAGAACAATCCACCTGATGGTAAGTGGTTGCTGCGGCCCACAGACATCTACATCTATCCTCTATTACAAGTCAAAATGCAGATGAGTTGAGGACCCGTGAGGACTAAAATGGAATGCCTCATTTCCAGTAAAAAGGGTCTCCGGTTCTCTACACTCACCATACGAAACACAGCAGTGTTAAGCTGCTATTTTACGCTGGTATTCTGTGAGAGCGTGGCCCTTCACCGGTCGAGACGACCCATTCGTGCTACAACTATACTTCTAATATACTGCCAGTCTGCCACTGTTAACATTTTGTAAACAACATACTCCTTGGTTTGGGGTTATTATGCTACCACCCATTTCCGACTTGTCCCGGTACTAACTAGTACCTACTTGACTATTTATGTCTCCACCAATAACCCACACCAACGTGTTGTGTTTCAGATTGAAGGGTAAGTAAGCCTGAATATTTGCAGGCTTTGAGCCAATTCATCTGATTCAGGACCGTAACGCCTCTGTGGCATTCTTTGTATGAAGTTGTTTACTCACTTTTATTGGCTAAAGCCACTTTGATCAAGTAGTAAGTAGTCCATCCATTCATTACAGCCTATAAACTCCACTGCTGAACACAGGCCTCCCACATAGACTGCCTCATAGGGGGGATTTTACTATAATAACCACGCTTGAGAGTTTTTTTTAATTATTTTGAGTTTTTTCGGGAAGATACTGCTGCCTCTATTCTGGTTTGTTTCCCTTTGTCGCCTCTTACACGGGCGATAAGGGGTAGTGGATATATAGTAGCTAAGCTATGTTTATTATATAAAAATTAGTTTTACTATGACACGTACAATTTCATGTCCTGACATCAAAGCCTCCATGAGCTCGTTGAGAGCATGCTCCAAGTAAGGAACCAGCGCGGGGTTTGTCGTAGGGTCCTGCAGAGCCGCGTCAAGTTCTTGGAGGGTCCATGTGGAAACAACGGGTACAGCTACCTGGACGGCATCCTGAAAAAATAAGTTATCTTATTAACTAGGTTAAAGAAAATTAAGGAACAAACTTGAAGGTGAAAACCATATTTAAAAAAAAACGACTGCGAAAGACTTTTAACTTTAAAGAAGGAAGGAAGAAGGAAAAAAATTCTACTACACACTATTTGATTAGTGACCGCCAGTACGGTTTTCGTCGGGGTCGATCAGCTGGTGATCTTCTGGTCTATCTGACTCATAGATGGGCGGAGGCAGTAGAGTCCAAGGGGAAGGCATTGGCCGTTAGTTTGGACATAGCGAAGGCCTTCGATCGGGTCTGGCACAAAGCGCTTCTTTCGAAGCTTCCTTCCTATGGGCTTCCCGAGAAATTGTGCAAATGGATCACCAGCTTCCTTGCTGATCGGAGCATCAAGGTTGTAGTAGACGGTGCATGCTCTGATTTCAAATCTATCAACGCTGGTGTTCCACAAGGCTGCGTGCTATCACCAACGCTGTTTTTCCTGTATACCACTGATATGTTGCAAACTGGTAACATTCATTCCTATGCAGACGACAGCACTGCTGATGCCTTGTATACAGGCCGTGCCAATATTTCTCGGGAAAACGTCGCCGAGTACCGGGACAAACTTGTGTCTGAAGTCGAGTCTTTGCTGAACAAAGTCTCGGATTGAAGGCGACTATATCTAGTCCAGTTCAATCCCCAGAAGACACAAGTTTGCGCGTTTACCACTAAAAAGAACCCCTTTGTCGTATCTCCTCAGTATCGAGGCACTCCCCTTGCTGCCTCAGCTAGCATCGGAATCCTTGGCGTCGACATCCCGAATAGTGTGAAGTTTTGTGGTCACTTGGAAGGGAAGGCCAAATTGGCCTCCAAAAAGCTTGGCGTGCTCAGCAGAGCGAGACAGTATTTCATGCCGGCACATCGCTTGCAACTTTACAAAGCGCAAGTTCGGCCTCACATGGAATACTGTTCTCATCTCTGGGCCGGGGCACGACAGTACCAGCTCCTTCCACTTGACCGTATCCAGCGCAGAGTGGTTCGAATCATCAACGACCGAGTTCTTTCTGATCGGCTTGATACACTGGCACTGCGTAGAGATGTTGCATCTCTTTGCGTATTTTATCGCATCTATCACGGGGAGTGCTCTGAGGAATTGTTCGGACTAATTCCAGCCGCTCAATTTCACCATCGCACATCGCGACAAAACTCGTGTTACCATCCATACCATCTGGATGATTTGCGGTCCACCACTGTGCGATTTAGAAGAAGTTTTCTCCCTCACACAACTTCCCTGTGGAATCGATTACCACCAGCTATTTTTATGGACTGATACGACTTAGGAACCTTCAAGAAAAAAGCTTACACATTTCTAAAAGGCCGGCAACGCATCTGCAATTCCTCTGGTGTTGCGGTTGTTCATGGGCGGCGGTGCTCACATACCATCAGATGAGCCGCACGCTCGTTTGCCCCCTGTTCTATAAAAAAAAAACACTTCCACATTTATGTTAAAATTCAATAAGTCGTCAAGACTACAGTAGTGTGCCAAAGAAGTAGACATATATACATACATACCTACGAAAAACACTACCCTCCTTCTTGGGCAGTCGGGTAAAAAAGGAATGACATCTTTATAAAATTCTAAATGAAATTGGTAATGGTGTAGCTAAACTTTGAAAAAAGGTTGGAAAGGAGGAAAATACATTTATATAATAAGGATTGACCGAAATCGCTCATGAAATAGATGGGCGATCAATATGTAAATGGATAAGTAAAGTTACAGCAAATGTTTATCCCACTGTTGGACACAGGTCCCCTCTCATTTTGATAGAGTGTAGTGACTTGTCTGCATGTTGGCGAACTTAAGTCATATAGACAATCATTCTCGTCAATATCATCCTTTAGACATGCATGTTTCCTCACGATGTTTTACGGGCAAGTATTTTTGCAATGAACAATTTTATCGGTTTCGGCGGTGAAGAACGCGAGTAGCGAGTAAAACACTTAGTTAAAAATATAATTAGGTACTTACAGCAGGGTATCCAGCGTAGATCGCATCCATCATCTCATTGAGAGCTTGCTCGAGGAACGGGATGAGAGCCGGGTGGGTGTTGGGGTTCTGTAAAGCCTCAGACACTTCCGTCAAGGTCCAGGAGACCGGAGCTGCGGCGGCGACGGCCAAGATTGCAGCGAAGGCAGCGATGAATTTCATTTTGGCTTTATTGCTAGGGAAAAAGACATTTAACTTGTAATTTCGGTTACCGAAGTCAAGTAGGTCTTATTACAGGAAATGAAGTAAAAAAAAGAAGAAGAAACATAGAAGATGTAGTAGTGATAGAACTCCTTCTCTCCGAGGCAGCTAGGAGTTGGTCTTGGTAATTTCCCTCTTAGTTATTGCTGCCCCTAACCAGCAGTAAGTAGACTGCTGTGTTGAACGGTGTAGAGAGTTAGCTTAATTACGGGATGCGAGGCATTTTGTCTTAGTCCTCAGGGGTGACAACGGGTTTGTGGCCTTCTTTGTATGAATTTAACTGCAAGTGTCCATGGACTGCAGAAGCCACTACAATTATAACTCAAAACTCTTTATTCAGTTTTGATTCTCTATCAAGAAAAGATGTCGAGGTCGTATTCGTGTTATATATGTGGTAGAGCCTTGCTGCAGTTATATTAGTAGTATAGTTGTAGCACGAATGGGTCGGCTCGAGCGGGGAAGGACCACGCTCTCACAGAATACCAGCGTAAAGCAGCAGCTTAACACTGCAGTGTTTCGTATGGTGAGTGTAGAGAACCGGAGATCCTTTTTACTGGAAAAGAGGCATTCCATCTTAGTCTTCACGTATGACAACGCATCTGTATTTTGATTCGCAAACGAGGATAGATGTAGATGTCTATGGGCCACAGCAACCACTTACCTTCAGGTGGACTGTGTGCTCGTTTGTCACCCTATCCTATAAAAAAAATGTCTATAGACCACAGCATTCACTTACCATCACGTGGCTTTTGGTGGCAGGTGGTTTTTCAACCCTTGTCCTAACTGACCCATTCGTTCAGCTACAGAGAAATTCTAACACGCACACTGCGACGGAACCGGTAATTCCATCCTCATCATCTCGATTGTTGGCGGTCCACTACCGTGCGATTTATGCTGAATTTTCTGCCTCGCACGATCACACTGTAGAATTTACCGTCTCCAGGGGTTTTCTAGATCGATACGACTTAGGGACCTTCGAAAAAAGAGACTACTCCTTTCTAAAAGGCCTGCACACCTGCAATTCCATTGGTGTTGCAGTTGTTCATGAACGACGGTGATCACTTACCATAAAGTGAGCCGTATGCTCGTTTGCTTCCTCTTATATAAAAAATGTACAATACCATCAGACTGTTAAGCTTAATCTTCATTGTATTAACTAAGAAAAAGAATTTCAAAATTGTTAAAGAGCTTACCTAGGTCCTGTATAAAGTCCTAATGATGTTTAATTTGAGTGGTTCTATTTATATGTGTAAGCTGTAAATGATAAAAGTAACGATATCGGGTCAATAATTTATTCGGATTAGTGACGTCACATCACCTCTATCGCTGCCGCCGGTCGGGCCGTCATAAATTTTGATTACGAGTGTGACACTGAAAGTCTTTAGAACAGTACTATGGTGTCAAGAACACAGCGCTTAAACTTATTATTTCATATTTAAGTAATAGAAAACAGAAGGTTATTATCAATGGTAAAAGTTCTTACGGGTCACCTGTACTAATGGGTGTCTCTCAGAGCTCGATTCTCGGCCCATTCCTGTTTCTGGTGTATATTAATGACTTACCTTACCTTGTAGAGGATAGTCGTGATATAGTATTATTTGCTGATGATACTTCCTTAATTTTTAAACTTAAACGTCAATCATTTAAATGTGACGAAGTGAATAATGCTATATCAAAATTTCATTGGTTTAACGTTAATAATCTGCATTTGAACGGAAATAAAACTAATTGTGTTAAATTTACAACAACGAATGTTAAAAACCTGAATGCCAATGTGTTTTTAAATGGGGAGGAATTAAGCCCTGTTGTATCTACTGTTTTTTTTGGCATCACTCTCGACGCAAAGCTTCACTGGGTATATCCATATATACAAATTAGCAAGCAGACTAAGTTCTGCAGCCTATGCTGTAAAAAAGATTAGAGGTCTCACTAATGTCGAGACAGCTAGATTAGTTTATTTCAGTTATTTCCATAGCATAATGTCTTATGGGATTTTGCTATGGGGAAATGCGGCTGATTCAGAAACTATTTTTGTTTTACAGAAGAGGGCCATTAGAGCTGTTTACAATCTAAAACCGAGAGAGTCTCTAAGAGATAAATTTAAAGAAATAAATATATTAACTTTGGCCTCTCAGTATATTTACGAAAATTTAATGTATGTTCACAAAAACAAAGGTAGTTTTAGTAAAAAAAGTGATAAAGAAAGTGATATTTTTCAACGTGGTAGAGCCATGCTGCAGCTATATTATGGTTGTAGCACGAATGGGTCGGCTCGACCGGGGAAGGACCACGCTCTCACAGAAAACCAGCGTAAAATAGCAGCTTAACGCTGCTGTGTTTCGTATGGTGAGTGTAGAGATCCGGAGACCCTTTTTACTGGCAAAGAGGCATTCCATCTTAGTCCTCACGGGTGACAACGCATCTGCATCTTGAATCTTTATTGAGGATAGATGTAGATGTCTATGGGTCACAGTAACCACTTACCATCAGGTGGACTGTGTGCTCGTTTGTCACCCGATCCTATAAAAAAAAAAAAAAAAAAAGATATACATTCTGTAAACACTAGGAACAAACACAAGCTAGTGATGCCAGTTTCTCGACTCCACTGAGTCAGTAATTCATTCTTGGGGCAATGTATACGCTATTACAACAAGGTCCCGGAAAGTGTACATCTCTATTACTCTCTCTATTACCAAGTTTAAATGTTTTATTAAACTGAAACTGTATAAAAAGGGTTATTATAGTATAAATTAATAAATGGTTGATAATAACCCCTGGGAATGAGGTGGTCGCTTCCAACCAGTTTCTAAAATAAATTTTGTAAATAGTTCGTAATCATTTATATTGTAAAATTTATTTAAAAAAAAAAAAACAGTCCCGCTGGGTTTCTTGCTGGTTCTTCCCAGGACAAAGTGTTTTTTTTCGAAACAGTGGTAAAGTAAAAAATGACTTTCAATAAGAATTACACATGTAATGTATATTGAATAAAAAATTATTCTATTCTGACCATTTATAAACGATATAATAAAAAAATAAGTTCAAATTTTGAAAATGGAACTCTTTGCCAATAATTATTATCGTGTATGTATTTAATTAATTTGTCATTTGTTTTCGATTTGGCGGCGAGAAAATTTTCTCACAATGATTTTTATGACTTTAGATGTCGTTTAAGTCAACAAGAACGTTATGATAGACTTCGATTGGCCTTTCACGATCAAGCCTCATCTCGTGCAACTGTTTACAACTGGTTTAATGAGTTTAAACGTGGTCGCACTAATCTCACCGATGATCTGCGTGAGGGACGGCCTTCTACGACGACGACTGAAGATAGCATCAGTGTTGTGGGGCGTATGATAGAGACTGACAAAAGAGTGACTTATCAGCAGAATCGGACAAGCTTAGGCATCGGTATTACTCAAGTGCACAAAATCATCCATGAACATTTAGCGGTAAAGAAGCTTTGTGCCCGGTGGATACCTCATAATTTGACAGAGGCCCAAAAACTCCGTCGTGCTGATTGGTGTCGTATTGATGGGTGTCGTATTGATGGGTGTCGTGAAATGGTTCAAGGACTCAAATGCTGTGTTCGACATACTTACGGGTGACGAAAGCTAGATTTATTGTTACGATCCTGAAACTAAGAGACAGTCTGCTGTCTGGGTGTTTCCTTCCGAGGAGTTGCGAACTAAAGTGAAGAGTGGTGGAAGCGTGGCAAAAAAGATGGTGGCCTCGTTCTTCGGAAGGACAGGTCATTACGCAACAATTGTTTTAGAGGATCGGGAAACAGTTACTGCAGAGTGGTACACTAACAATTGTTTGCCACTTGTCTTGGAAAAGTTCGGTAGAAACGATCTCGCAGTAGGATCCTCCTTCACCATTTGGCGACGTCAGACGTCGAATTACTGGGTCACCCACCCTATAGTCCCGACCTCGCACCTTGCGATCTTTGTTTATTTCCGAAAATGAAAGAAAAACTTCGAGGAAAACGTTTTATGGACGCCGAGGTAGCAGTGGCTGCGTTTCAAAATGCCGTCGAAGGGACCGCTAAGGTCGAATGAGCAAAGTGCTTTTGTCAGTGGTTTTATCGGATACAGCGATGTATTGATGTAAATAGACACTATTTGCAAAAGATATAATAAATATATAACTTGCTAGTTTGTTCAGTTTTTGATTTTCTAAGATATTTCAGTGTCACTCTCGTAGAATTATCCATCGGGCGATGCAGCTATATTATGGTTGTAAGAGGAAATACCACGCCCTCACTGAATACCAGCGTAAAATAGCAGATCAATGCTGCAGTTTCCTATGGTAAGTGTAGAGAACCGGAGACCCTTTTTTCTGGAAACGATACAGTCTATCTTAATCCTCAGGTGTGACAACGTATCAGCATTTGATTCTTAATGGAAAATAAATGTAGATGTCTATGGGCCACAGCATCCACTTCCCATCAGGTGGACTGTGTGCTCGTTTGTCACTTTTATTCTGTAAAAATAAAATTGGTACTACGCGTATACCTGAGTTCAATTTCTAACACCATCGCATAATACTGTTTTAATTACGGAGAGTAATATATCTTCTTTATTCATCATTACATCTTATCAAAAGTCGGAACATAGGTCTCCCCATAGATATATTCATACACACATTTGTCATTGTAGCCACGCTTGGCAGGCAGGTTGGCAACCGCAGCTTTTACACAGCCCCAAAAGAGTTATGTTTTTCACACTTATGTATATAACTATTTACGTATTTATGTATGTCTATTTCTTTAACGCGCCCTGTTGTATATATTTTAACATATGGGATGTCATTACATTCGTCTTAGTTGTGGAAGTGGTATAGAAAATATATTTTTTCCCTTTTCAGTAAACTTCTCTACACAGTCGGTTTTATTGAATTACTTACTGTTTTATCCAGTGGACATGTTTTATATTAAAAAAAAATAATTACTATAGGCTGCA